ATTTCATCCTTCTGCGCCCATATAGAGCCCCCAAAGCATCACCCCCAAGTAGGACAGCACTGATAGCTACATGTCTGCAATAATAGACACGAGAGAAGAAAAGCTCATTTGTACCGCTGCCTGGCGGGAAAAATCGGCCATTAAAGCAGCCATTTGGAACTTTGCCACACTCTCTGTAGCGCACCTGCAGAGAGAAGCTTTTAATTGCTACATTTGGGAATATCGGGTTTCACTTTGCATATCGGGCTGAAGTTTGCTACATGTAGCAGTACCAGACACATACAGAGAGAACATCGCTGATTGGTTGTTAGGAAAGAACAGAAGTAACAAATCATTCCATTAGACGTCTGGAACTTTGCCACAATTAGAGTACAGCTGCAGGATCTGCTTTAATTGTTACATGGTATCAGATTTCGTTAGGCATAGTTTGTGACGATACCAATGTCAAGGAGAAAACTATAGTCCTTCAGTAACATGTAACATAGCAACAAATTTTCTGCACCCTTAATTGGGTCAAATGCTACATGTGAGGATATCGTATTTCATTTAACATATCTGGTTACAGTGGTTTCATCCCCTACAATTTAGTGTTTAGTAGTTAGAGTAGTCACATACAATATTGTTATCCATGGCTCATCCTTTACTTTTATGTAACATGTACTTGCAATTAGGGTATGGAGAGGAACTTGCAATAAACTAAACTTTCTACAATCACCAGGTGGTGAAACATGTACGTATAAAACAGCTCATGAAATCTTTAAGTTTGGCCAAAATTAAAGAAGATCAGATCGTCTTAAGATGTTGGCCCGCAGCTTCTTCTTGTAATGTCTTCCGTCTTTAAGAAATAAAGGTGAGTTTGTAGTCTCTATACCAGACTAACTACGCTGGCTATATATAGGAGAATATTTGCCGGGGGTGTTTGGCCACCTTGTAGGTTTGACTGGAAAGAAACTACCTTCCCGCGGCCGGACTCCCCTGGCCAATTTTACTCTCTTTTTTGCCGAAGTCTACGATCCCACCGTGACGATCCGTATTCCCGTAGAAAGGCCTGGTGGAGGCTAGTGAGTTTATAAGACTTGCAAATGTGACTCGCAGTCAGCCTCCGGCAAGAGAAGTAATAACCACCACATAACCGGAAGGTATAATATTGTCATGTTTATATGAATAGAAATGTTTATAAATATGAAGGATTACTATCTGTTGTATCTATATTATATATCTTTACCATTAGAAATTCTGAACATGATGGCCATTCAACTCTAGTTGCAAAGGCTCGATAGTGTCTTACGAATTGCCCTTCATATAATCTGATACAATCGTGCTACAATGACTTTGTTCTATGTGTATAGCCTCATTCGCAGACTTCTGAGGAGGCAGCGTTACCCCCCCCCCCCAAAAAAAATAACGCCGCCTCCTCAGAAGTCTGCGAAGGAGGCTACTGTGTGTCTCTCATTTTCGCTAGAATGCACATAACACCTGCCCGCCTGTCCTGTGGACAATTCAGACGTGTGAAAAGTTGTGACAGAAATTCGATACTTTTCATCCTGTGGATTGGCCAGTTATCCTGTCCGTCCTGATTGGTCCTGACAGAAACCCGATACCGCGCGGCTCGCTACACTGTAATTGTGACAACTTACTCTGCTGTAGCAATTTCACACAATCACTGACATTGTAGCGACATGGAGGCGACACAACATGGTGTAACAATCATCCCGGATTGCCACAGTGCTCAGTCTAACGCCTGCTGTGTGAATTGTTACTTCAGTAGTCGTTACTCCTGATTGCTACAATCGGCTGGGATTGCTACACTGCCGGCTCGGCCTGTGATAGTTGTTACAATGGTCCTGATGTGTGATTGCTACAGACACCCAGTGTGGCAATCACAGTCAGTAACCGTCCTGTCATTGGACAAGTAGACTGTTAGTAAAGCCCAAAGTGCTATATGTTACTAATGAATGGCTGTATAACAAGCTCAATGCCCCCTTCAGTATGACATAGACATTAAAACATCGGGTCCAATTTGTAGTTAAGAGGGACGGCGTTTCAACAAATGGCCATATAACCTCAGGAACCATACACAAAAGTACACACCGGTACAATACAGAGGAGAATAGTGGGACCTCCTACTAGAAGTTTCCATGCTTCATGTTAAGTCTCACGGCTCAAGTAAGGGAGTGAACCGTACAAAAGGCAGCCACTCACAAATCTTCATGTAGAGCAAAGTAAAGTAAAGTAAAGAAAAGTCAGGGTGCTGGGGCCATGCGTGCTTTTCTTTTTTTTTTCAAAGCCTTCTGGCTTTCTATAGTTCTGTCGGTATCCTGGCCGGAAAATATATAGTACAAAAAGGTGAAAACCGTACAAAAGACAGCCACTCACAAATCTTCATGTAGAGTAAAGTAAAGTAAAGTCAGACTGCTCTTCAAGCAGACGCCATGCCTGTTTTCAGACGTCTTTTTTCATAGCCTTTTAGAGTCTTTTTCAGGCTTTTTACTATGTATTTCCTGGCCTTATTACCTTATAAAACACAGCCACTAACAAACTCCATCACAAGTAAAGTAAAGTAAAGTAAAGAAAAGTACAGTAAAAACAGACTGCTCTTCAAGCAGACGCCATGCCTGTTTTCAAACGTGTTTTTTTCAAAACCCTTTTAGACGTTTTGTCTGGCTTTCCATTTTTCTGTCGGTATACTGGCCAGGAAATACATTGTAAAAAAGCGCAACAAAATGTTTAAAAATGCTTTGATAAAACACGTCCGAAAACAGGCATGGCGTCTGCTTGTTCAGAGAGAAGTCTGTCTTACCGAGAGGCGAGAAACCTCTTTATGTCGCTCTTCAAAGGCCGCTGGCAGAATTTAGGGAGCGGTTTATCAAGCTAACAAAACTGGGCTCCAGGCAACATTTAACCATCATCTTGTCTTGTATGTACCAAGGGACGTAACACTGGCCAACAGCACTTACTACAAAGTAAAAGTTAAATTATAAGTATGTTAGACAGACAGATACCCCGCTGCTGTGGCGCCTCCTGTCATCAGTGTGTCTGTCTTCTTACGAAACGAAAATGGAAGGAACCTTTTAAAACTTAACCGCTGATTTCCCGTCCATCCTGTCCGCTGTTTTACACCAATTCCCGAGCGATTTGCGAAAGATGAAGACCCGGAGGTAACTACAGGTCACTCACAGAACACGGGAAAACTGTTACTCAGACAAATGGATGGATTTTGAAAGTTAGACCAGCTTCTCTTTTGTTCTCTTGACTGGAGGTCACTACATGTAAAACGAAACTTGAGTGGGTGCCACTAGAAGACAGACGAAAAATGACCAGACTATTCATGATGCACAAAATGACTAATAAACTGGTGGACGTACCAACTACAGGTCACTCACACAACACGAGAAAACTGTTACTCAGACAAATGGATGGATGCAGATACTCAAGCAACTGGATGGACTTATGTCCATCCTGTCCGCTGTTTTACACCAATTCCCGAGCGATTTGCGAAAGATGAAGACCCGGAGGTAACTACCGGTCACTCACAGAACACGAGAAAAATGTTACTCAGACAAATGGATGGATTTTGAAAGTTAGACCAGCTTCCATTTTGGTCTCTTGACCTGAGGTCACTACAGCTGAAACGAAACTTACAATTCCCGAGTGATTTGCAAAGAGAAAAGAAACCTACAGACAGTGGGGGTTACTTGAAGACAGACGAAAAATGTCCAGACTATGCATGATGTACAAAATGACTAATAAACTGGTGGACGTACCAACTACTGAGTACCTAACACCAGCTCAGAAGAGAACAAGAAATAGTCATGCCTTCAAGTACAAGAGGATCAAGGTGTTGAAAAACCCAGTCTTTCCTAGAACTAGCGCAGACTGGAACTCGTTGCCACCAAGCACAGTTGAGGCATCATCACTAGAAAGCTTTAAACAAATCCTGCAATTAAATGTGCAAAGATTGTGTGTGTCAAGTCGTTTTGCGTAATATAGCTATATATATATATATATAGCCAGCGTAGTTAGTCTGGTAGACACTAGATACAGATACCCAAGCAACTGGATGGACTTTGAAAGTTAGACCAGCTTCCCCTTTGTTCTCATGAGTATCTAATTACCTGGATGTCTAACTATAATGGGCGAACTCACAGAACCTTTGGATCCCTGATGATTCTACTCTCTATGTCTGGATCACCCTCTTCAGTCTGAGTTGATAGTGAACCTTTGCAAGACGTAAATGTGCTACTGGCTTGTACATGGATTTTCAGACGCTTTCATTGTAGGCGCTTCACTGCTGACTTTCAACTACAGATGGGTCCCTAGACAATGAAAGGAATCATCGTAGCGAGTAAATGATTCTTTGGCTCAAAGTGAAGAAATCGCACTGGAGAATCGGTGTGTGGAAAGTGCCACACGCAGTTATAATAATAATAAATGGTTTTTATTGTCCAAACAGTACCCGTGCAGTCGCAGCCTTTAACGGCTGAATTGATGCAGGGTATCACAATAATCAATACAAATTACAACAATCAAATAATACACATGATACACATATTTTTTCCACAATTATTTTTGTGGAACTGTCGCAAGGGTCTGTGCGGCTGCCATTCGGCGCCACAAGGTGACCTCAATACGACTTTCCCCAACCGAAGTTAGGTACCCATTCACACCTGGGTGGAGTGAGGAAATTCGTGTAAAGTGCCTTTCCCAAGGGCACAACGTCGGGCGCATGTTCAGACATGTCCCGGGTACGACTCGGAATCGAACCCG